GAGATGAGGCCGGAGGCCAATGCCATGTAATTTGTATCCTATGTAATTTTTGACTTCATGGAGTATTATGAAAGTATTGAAAAATATTAAGTTTTTGTTTCACCATGTTTGCATTGGGTGTGGGAATTCCATTTTGATTCTTCCATAGGGCCTCATTAATTATGTATGAAGTGCGGCCAAGGGCCAAATGGTATTTTGAAACCATCTCATGATTTTAAATTCCAAGTTTTCGTTCCAAACTTCATTTTTGGCATTTTGGCCGTTGGGGGGTCATATTTTGCATCGGCCATATTTTTGGGCCATGGACCATTGTAGCACATCTTACTAGGTAAGTTACGTTTGCGTGCATGGTCTTTTCCGGGCAAAGCTTCTTCTTTGGTGAAATGAGCCTCCTACGGACTCATTTTACACTTTTGTTGCATTTTCTGACCTAAGGGTATTTTGGGTATTTTCTTTGGGAAATAAATTCCGTGCTTCATATGGTTGAATAGAAAATATGATTTTTGGGGGGGGGGGGGGGGGGTTTCTTTTTCGTGTTTTTCCAGAAAATGCCATCTTGGCATCGGAAATCGCATCCGAAGTTCAGCTCTCAATTTTTAAATTTAGCAGCTTTTTGGACCCTTTGGACCAGTTTTCTTGGGAGGGCATTTTGGGCATTTCACATTGCGTATTTTTCGATTTTTCTTGCGAGTCACGTAGAAAACTCAATTTTGAGGGGGGTTTCTTCTTTGAGTTTTTCCAGAAAATGTCATCTTGGTCCTCAAATTTCCATTTTTCCCGGAAAAACCCCTGCTGCCAGGTTTTCCTTGCTGAGTATTCTGCCCTCTTCACATGTAAACGGTTACGAGGAGTTTGGTAACCGGTTACATGTGCATGGGCAGTGTTTTGGTCAAATTTTTTGGCCTCCTAACCGGTTAGGAAGGTCTCCTAACCGGTTAGATGATCTAGTGTTTGCACTTTTTGACCGTTTTGCCCCTTCTTCTTCCGTTAGCCATATCTTCTTCATCCGGACTTCGAATCAAGTGATTCTTGAGTCTAAATTCATTAATTTTTCGTTGTCTTTCCAATGGTGTGCTCGGTGACACCCACTTTTTAGCTGGAAATAACAATTTTTCCCCTAGGTTCATTCTTGTTCGTTTTTGAAGCGTTGCTTCCCCATTTGATTCCTTTGGGTTCCGTGACCTCGTTAAGGGTCATAATGGTGTCTTAGAGCCATGTTGTATCTCTAGAGACCGTTGTTTTGTCTTTTACTTCCGCACTTCGGATCCGTTATCGGGTCATCTTTCGGTTCATCACTGGCGCACCGGGTTGAAAAACTTGGGCCGTCACAAAGATACTATTCATCCACAGTGAAAGTTACTATTCATCTACAGTCAAAGCTGTCAAAAGCAAAAGTCACTTTTCAAAAAGCCAAGATTCGCGCTGAAGCATCCTCCAACAGTGCAGGAGCCCGATTATAAAAGCAGTGTTCAGTCTCATTGCATGGCAGGCTTCATTTGAGAGATTTCAGGCTTCAGAACATTTTCTTAGTTTCAAATTGTAATCTTCAGTTCAGTTTTATTTTTCTTTTCTGAGTGTAATTCCATACCAGTATGCTGTATTTGTCAGACTATTATCAGTAATTTGTAAGTTACTTTAAGTCATTCTCTGTTATATTATTATAAGTTTGATTTATCTTTTCTGAGTGTAATTCCATACCAGTATGCTGTATTTATCAGACTATTATCAGTAATTTGTAAGTTACTTTTAATCATTCTCTGCTATATTATTATAAGTTTGATTTCAGTTACATTTACTTTTGTTTATTATATATTATATATCTTGGTCGGTTATACACCGCCTTATTTATTTTAATGAATAGTTTTGGGGATGACAGAATAATAAATGAGGACAATTTAGTTATTTCAGGCTTTTGATATTTTGGATTAAAATAGATTTTAAAAAATAAAAAAAAAAAGGATAAAATTGTTATTTTGCACCGTTCTAACGAAAAAGTAATGGAAAAGGAATAAATTGGAGTCTAAGTGATAGTTAATTTCGAAAAATATTTGAAGATGATATTTGACCAAACCTAAAGGGGTGTCAGTGAAATTAATCCTTATTTTGTTTTAGTTTCTCATACCTTGCTGGGTATTTTGTTTAAGTATACAGAACTTGCTGATTAACACAAATTTTTTCCTTTTTTTTTTTTCTCCTATAGTTATTGTTTTGTTGGGGACGGTGGGGGTAGGAAAAGAGAGAATAAAAATAGATGTTGTTTTTTTATTATTTTAAAGTTAAGGGGTAGGTTAATATATATATAATTGTCTTAGTGAGGTATTTATTTTAATGAGTCTCAAAGATTGATCTTATTCTGATTTCTAATTGTTTTAGTGACAGTGGACTTGTAAATTTTTCTTTTTGGTTCCCAACTAATCTTTCCTCTTTTTCTATCCTATTGAATTGTCAAGTTTTTTTTTTTTTTTCAAGGCGTGCATCATGAATTCTTTGACCCTCATATTTTGTTCTATAAGGATAATTTGAATTAAGATTGCTCAACAAAACAAAACTTAGCAGCTAAACAAACTAGTAGTCAAAAAGATAGAATAAGGTAATCCAACAAGCTGAATTGACCAGATTAAAATTAAATGAAAGATGACAAGCAGATAAGGAAAGTTTAAATACAACGCTTGGATCAGAAGGAAGAAACTCCACAAATCTCAACAATTCTCCTCGAATTCCAACAAGTTGCAACAAGCTGAACCAGCTATAAATACAAGTTTAATCAAGCAGAACAGGTATGAATAAAATTAATTATAATACTCGTGCATTTATTTCAAAGCTCCAACAACTAATTTGATTATCAAAGAGCGGGCAGGCATGTCATCAATAGGCATTCTTTACAAGAAATGGTGTCATTCTGGGTCGTGCAGAACCTCGCATCTACAACAATATGGGAGATTCTATGCTTTATTATCACAAGTAGTAGCAACTTGATTCTGTGACGTAATTATTATAAGATTCCCTTTATGCTTAATAGATATCTAAGTGGGAGTAGTAATTTATGTCGTGACATATCTCATTTATTTACAATCGTATCATTTGATAAAGATTCACTTGAAAATTAGGAGAAGAGAATAACCTACATAGATAGCTACTTAATTTCACTTGCAAATGGTTTCGTCCTATTCTCATCAACTTTCTTTTTTTTTTTTTGGTCCCCCCCCCCCCCCCCCCCCCCCCCCAAGGAATTGTTTGTACGAGAAGTCGAAATTAGACTTAATGTTTCTTGCGACACTAAAACCAAGTGACTTACCCTCTTTTTTCCTCAATATTAAATATGAAAAGTTTTGAGGTGGTTCTAGAGTTAAAGAGCGACATAGGGGCAAAATGAGGCGTCTACATCCTTTATTTTCTCTTCAATGTCGAACCAAACATGAAAATCACTATCCCTGGCTTCCTTTTCTTTTCTTTTCCTTTCCTTCTAATTCCATCAATCCAAACGAAGCCTCAAAGTTGACGAAGCTCGTGTGTTTCTTTCATTCCTCAACTATGGACATGACTATGGAAAGAAAAGCATATGAAAATAGGAGAAGATATACATTGCGCTGGGCATACCAAGTCATAGGTATGCCCGATCATTAGAAATACACTATTTTATGAAATTGATCCTACTTATTTTTAAAAACTGTTCTAAACTAACTGTTATGATGATTTTCATTAATTATAGGCTTATCAAGTCATTAGTACGGCGCACTCAATATCTACTCCACAAACATATGGCAGCAAGAGTGCAATTGGGTTGAGATCTCGGCAGCCAGAAAGGCAGCAACTTCAATAGAATATCCATAGCTATTGGAAGTAGTACCTAGAAAGAATCAGAATGTCCCATCACCTCAAAACAGGTCGCATACACTATAAATTATTACATGGTTAAGGGATCATTGGTCCCGGCCAATCACATGTTGACACATAAAGAAAAAAAAAAATAAGATAAAACTGATACATTTGCTTATATGTCAAAACATGATTGGCTAGGACGAAAGAATAATTTCTCCCCGTACACCCACACAACCATGATTAACACCCAGAAAGAATGAGACTGTCCCACTACCTCAAAAGAGGCCTATACACCACAACCATGTGAATCAACCAGAATGGAAAAAGCTTCAAAGGGAGGACCATTAATTGAAAATTGAATGGGAACACCCATTCTATTTGCCACCAGACCCACTTAAGACTTTTTGTAGCCCTTGAGGGACCACACTCCATTCTTAACAATATCAATAATACTTCTTTCTAAAGAGACATCAATATTTATAAGAATTGGAAAAAGTCTGATTTCTTGTATCAAAGAAATAATCCAAGAAGTTATTGGACTGCCATTGCCTGCAACATTTTTTCCCAATACAGCTCCAAATTATGGAAGTTAGAGGGGATTCAAAGAACAGATGGCTATGGTTTTTTACTTTAAATCTGCAGAAGACGAGTTGAATAAGGCCAAATTTCTCTCTTTGTTGCTGTAAATGGAAGGATTGCCTTCACTAAATCATATTGCACAACATTTTTTTTCTTTAACACAAATTTTGTCGTTCGTTTTTTTTTTTTTTTTGGTTAACCCGGGGTATCTGGAAAGGCACGAATCCTTAGGGCCCCTCAACAACCCGATTAATTTCCGAGAGCCCGGAAGGACGCCTTTCCACCCGGGTCGAGTAAATCACTACAGGGGTAGCGGAGGCTAGCCACCAAGAACACCCAGCGGAGACTCGAACCCAGACCTAAGGCTTATGAAGCACTTAAGTCAATATTTAATACAATAAGAACCCTTTTTTTTTCAGTTGGTTTTTTTTTTTTTTTTCCCCCCGGAAATTATGTCAGTTGGTTGTTGATTACAAGTTTATTGAACAAAGACAGTTACCAGTATAAAAGAAAAAATAAATGGTATCATTTGACACTTGGACCATTCTTCCTTGAAGTTACTTCCAAACTGTATCACATAAGAAAAAAAAAAAAAGAGTAACTAAAAGCAGAAACACAGCTGAGTAATTTAAAATATAAACAGAAGAATACAATTTCATTTTTTAGGTTTATAAATCATTTTTTCTTCTTTCTCCTATCTGAGTTCCCAAAGAGACACCATATGTTTAAATACAACTGCTAATTCACAAATATTTTCTGTGCCTTGCTAACAAAAAGTACACTACATGCTTCACAATTGCAAGCCCGAAACATATTTTCCATTTCACTTTTTCTATTCTCACTGTTTTCATTTCAACTCCCGCTCTTAATCCTAGGGAGAAACTCCCTACACCCATTTTGATTCTTTTCAGAAGTGATGATGGCCGGGCTCCCTAAAAACAATGAATCTCCGTCTCTACTATTTTTTAAAGGACCTGAATTACCATTAATTAGCTTTGAAGCTTCAACATCTCTTTGTAACGTGTACAAGTCACTAGAATCCAATTTCTGTGATTCTGCACCATCTTCAGGAAACTGCGATCCTTCAATAGGGAGCTCCGACGACTTATCTGAGTCGCTTAGGAAGTCTTCTAGTGTTGCAAGAGCTTTCAACTGTTGGCCAAGAGCTGCAATAGTTTTCTGGCACTCTGCAAATTTACTGGCTGCCACCGCTAACTCATCGTCCTGTCATAGATATAATATGAGAAAAAATCTATCAAAACAGTAAATATAAGCACAATGACCTATTTAGTAGTTATATATGTTTGTAGAAACACAATTTATGCAATTACCCCTGCAATGCCCTGCTGATAAACCGATGATAATAGTACATGTCAACCAGGGGGATAGAGATATAAAATTTTTAGGAACCCCCCAGGTGCTCTTGTAGTAGGCATTGATTCATTGGTAATGTGGTCCTACTCTTCTACTCGTCATGTTTTAAAGGGCAAAAAAGAAAAGGTTTGAATTTTGATCCCATAAGTTGACTAAATTACTAACCAAATTATCACCATCATTCCTGTCATTATCCCAAAAGAAGGATAGACAACATTAATTCACTTACTACAATCATTTCTATTATAATCTGTTTCTAATATGATATTTATTTTTTTTTAAATGATATCTATTAACCATATCTAATGTTAGTTTTGGTCGACCTCCTTGTCTTTTTACCTTTAACACGCACTAAATCTTTCTTTTTCTTATTGATGCATTTACAAGTCTACGCTGTATATGTTTGCACCACTTAAGTTTCCTTTCTCTTCATTTATTACTGTGGATGCCACTGCCGCCACTCCTAATATGTCCCTCAAAATATTAATTTGTAAGCAGTGACTCCTATTATCCATCTCAACATTCTCTTTTCACCTACATAAATGAGTTGTTTTTGTTTCTTTTTAAAGTCCAACCCTCCACTCCACGTAAGATAGTGGGCCTAATGACTGTCTGTAAAATTTACGAACATACGACCCTATCTTCTCCGAATTCCTAAAATTGTTAGTTAAATGAACTTACTAGAAACAACTCCAGCAACAAGCAGGTCATACCAAAATTCTGGAATAAGGACCATACTGGGGGGTTCAACGATTGATTTAAACATGGAGAGATCTGGATTGTGAGGCCCAGTTGAAGCCAGTGCAGAAAGACCTGCATTAGATTCTTATCCTTGCAATGTAACATGGGCACTTTTTAAATGTATGAAAAGCCGGTTACACAAAACACAACACAATTTGTTGGGTAAAGTTATGTATGACACACCTCAATAAACAGATGATATACGTATCAAATTAAAGAAAGTGACAAACCTATATACACTTTACTAGAAGTTACATGAATGCTTTTTTAATATGGTCTTACATGGAGGGTTCTTGGAGTAAAAAGCTTGCATTAGACACTACCTTACAGATGCATGATTTCATCCTATCACATGGAGGAAAAAAAACTAGAAACTTCTATGATTCAATCATCTCTTCATGTCCTTAGACATGCTTTTTAGATACATTCGGCACATCTAGATGAAAACCTACCCACATCACATGTTCTCGAGTTCATGTAACATTAATCCAATGTTAGCTTAGTGTCACAGCCTTGGCGGTTTCCAAGTGTTCGTGCGGCCATAGATATTTTCAAGCACTCTTGAAGTGCCAAGTCAACCTAGCTACCTAGCTTTCTTAGTAAAGAGAAGTGAAGGAAGAGAAGTAGACAAGTGAGCAAAACAGAGTTTGAGTGAATGTAGCTTGTATTGCTCCTGGAGAATCCTTACAACTTGGTTGCTTGGTGTGGGACAAATGAGCTCCCACGGTCCCACCCTATTTTGTTGGCCACGAGCCTTACAATGAATGACTAGGATATGTAGAAGTGTCATCGATCCAACGGCCGGGAGTATTCTAGAATTGGGTTCTAGAATGCTCCAAAAAATATCTAAGACATCTCTATACAATGCTAGATTACTCTAGAGAGTTCTAGGCAACACTACAACTCTAGATAACTCCACACAAGTGAAGTGAAGTATAGAATGTTTTGGCCACGCAGACTACCTACGTCATCATCCTGTTGTGCACCTACGTGGCGTTTGTGTGGCTTACATTCCATTGCGGGGTGTGACAATAGGCTCATGGCCATGCATGCGGAGCTTCCCGTTATTTTCAACCCGAAAGAATAGTAATCTATCAAAGCTACTACTAAGGTTCCAAAAAGATATACTCTAACTTATACTACGGCCATCAGAATTCTGAAGGCAAATAAAAAAAAACAACCTAAATCTCTATCGTTTATGGATCCGAGGGGGCTCATATACGAGATTTAACTGTTCCATTTTCCCAGTGGAAAACATTAGGATTTTAATAAAGGTACAATGATATGGCAGCGTAAGCACTAGCTTCCACATGATATGGCCAAAAACTTTCAAAATATGGAAAGATTTAACATGTTGCTTGCCTCCTTTAAGACCTGTTCAGCATCACTCATGCATTTTAAGGATTAGAAAACTGAATTAAGAATTTTTTAAGTGAACTGACCTGCTTTATTTTCAACATTTCACTAGAACTTGCTGCATTTCGGAGCTCAACTTCACGTTTCATTCTCAAGATCTCCTCTTCCAATTTCTGACACTTGGAGACAGATTTCCCTGACAAATCCCTTTCCCTTTGAACTTCTTTGTCCAAGGAACCAACTTTCAAAAGCAATGCTTTTATATCAGCTTCTGCAACTATGAGTCGTGACTCTGCCACTTCTCTCTTTGAATCACTAGCCTCGAGTTCTCCCGCAGTTGCTCTCCTTGCTTCATTTGCTGTAGCTAACTGAGTTTGCAGCTCTACCAACTCCATCTCTGCTTCCTTTAATTGATTCCTTGATGTATTAAGCTGATTCTGGCACTCATGTAGAGCCATATCCAGTTCCACTTTCTCCACTTCCATCTTCTCCAATTTCTCCTCCAGTTCAGCTGTCCGATTGATCATGGCTTCAAGATCAGCTTTTAAAGGCCCTACCCCACCACTGGATTGATCTAACGAAGCTCCTGACTCAGCACAACAGCTTCCACTTTCTGTCTCAGGTAATGCTGCAAGCCTTTCCATTTCGAGGAAATCATCCATGAGATTAATCTCAATTGAAGGGGCCATAAGTGTTCTTCCAGGAGCTTTCTCATTCTTAAATTGATCAAGCTCTGCTATCAAAGCAGATGCCCATGAATCAGAATGGCTTGGCTCACACTCATTTGGCTCCATTCCACCCATCTTGCGGGTGTCGGTTTCAACAACAACCAGTTGCCTCTCCCCACTATCTGATTGGCTATCTGTGAAAGATTCAACAAAAACTGACGAAGCAGTAAAAGACCTGTAATCATTACCAGGTGATGCTTTGCGAGCAACAGCTTTTAGCCTGCGGCACTCAGCTTCAAGCTTAGCCACCTTCTTTATGCTCTCCAGATGTTGCTTGCTAGCTGTTTCAGCGGCTAGGGTGCTCAAGTCCCTCTCAATAGTCCTATGTTGTAGCTCCTCAGCTCTAGAAAGAAGCTCAAGCTTGAGGGCTGAGTTCTCTTTCTCTGCAGCCTCAAGTCTAGGATTAAGATTAGCATCAACAGAGATGGAAGCTTCAGTTCTAGACACCTGCAGTTGGGACTGAAGCTCCACAAGATGACTCTCGAGTTCAGACTTCGTAGATTCCCATTCACGAGTTTTCTCGGCAACAGCTTCACGGGTCTTCTGCTCTTGCTCTTCTCTTGCTTGTCGAAGCTGTCTTAGACACTCCTTGAGTGCTCCATCAAGGTGGCCAACACGATCTTCAAGGGCAGAGTTCCTCTGAGTTGCAGCCTCAAGTTGTTGCTTTAAAGTGAACACCTCCCTTTCAGCCTTTTCCCATCCTAGAAATTGAAATAGCAAAACAACAGCCTAACACTTGTCAAATCATAACAAAAACAAGCAAGAGCATATGCAGACTTACTGCAGAGACAATAATATACCTACATTTACTAACAAAACAACTTAAATCCTCAAGTTGAGGACAAATGTTATATAAGAAGAAACATTGAAGTTTTAAATTAAACAAACTTTTCATGTAAGAATGGCTTAATGACAATGTATCTATGGTTCAACCAGAATGTTTAAAAAATTAAAGTATTTCCCAGCAACACACAACAGAATGACAAAGTTACTAGTATGGAAAATGCACAGAGAAACAACGCCAACAAATGAAACGAAAGGAAAAAGTATCGAGTATCGACCTTAAGAGAGAAAGGGAACCAAACAAAATATTTTTTTCTTCTTCATATTATCATACAATCAAAGTAGCCATAAAGAGAGAAGGTTTGAAAATATATGGTGGGTAATCATCTGCTGCAATTTTGAGAAACTTAATTCCAGTAGCCAGTTTTGGTTATGCTATTGTGGGATGTTGGCCTTGCCAATACAAGGTGCTGGCAGGAGTAAACTGAATACAAAACTAACATTTGGTATTGTTTGCGCAAAGTGTCTGCTATCTAACTTGAACCTGACTCATGCTTGACAGCCCAGGCCCCAAGAACTTTACCATTTTACCAAGAAATAGCTTCTTAGTTTAAGAGAGGTATTATTTGCACAAGGTGGCTGTTATCAGACTTGAACCTAATTTCTCATGTTAGGCAGTGGATTTTATGATTGCAGCAAGCAGTAGTCCCCCAGTTTAAGAAACTTGAGTCAAGACATTTGTGAAGAGTGGAAACCATTTCCCTTGAAGAGATTAGGAGAAAATTTAGTGAACACAAATAAATGAAAGACATAATTATAATAGTTTAGCCAAAAATTATTTTAGAACAAGTAATGAGCATGGTTTCTTGTTTTGACCTAAGGGGAAGAAATTACATGCCGGAAACTCCCTCTCTTTTATCATCCTTGGTTCTAACCATGTGTTCTCTCCTATTTTCATATTGTAGGGGTAAAGATGGGCCTGACAATCCTTTATAATACCAAAATTAATACTTACTACAACAAGTAAAAATCCTGGTGCAACACAGTTTCCTACTTAAATTTCACATAGAGATAGAACCAAGTGATACCTGAGACAGCTTCCTCTGCAACTTTGGCATGCTGCTTTACCAAGTCTTCCTTGGCACTAATTGTAAGAAGAGCTGCTGACAGTTTATCTTTTAGAGTCTTCACACTATCATTAACTTCTCCATCACTTGTAGCACCTTTAGATGTGACTTCTGGTGATTGAGTAAGATGGCTTGAATATGCCTTTGGTAATAAACCAAGATCCATCAGAATTTATCAAACCAATAATTTTAAAGGATAAAGGCAATGTTAAATGCATCGAATAGGAAAAGCTGTAGGAAACCTAAAATTATAATTTTCATCTTACAAAAGATAAAATCAAGGTAGGTTACATAAACTGCATAGAACATGCTATTGATTAATTCCACAAAATAATGAAATCAAAGATAAGAGAAAATTAAATAAGATTCAACAATATAGTATTTGTGGTTTCATCCGGTTAACAATTTTTATCCAATGAACCAACAGGTCAGTGGCCTAGTGGTACCAGGCTCCTACTTCTCAAAGGGAAGTCAGGGCATGTGTGTGTGAGTACCAATTAAGGAAAAAAAAAAATTATCCAATGGTAAAAACAAAAAATCCCACTTAAAATGCAAGTTCCCAAATTGTTTTTGTTTTCACATAATTGTTTACCATTCAAAGGAACCCAGCATTGAGTTAGTTGACCAGCATCATGGCTATTTGAATTTTCCAGCCATTACCAGGTTCAAGGATGATAATTTTATCATCAGTGGATCAATTATTGCTTCATTTTGTGTCCTATTCCTTGGTAGTTCAAAACGTTAATGGAAGCAGTCTCTGAAAGTTCCAGGTATAAGGGGGAGAAAAAACAAAAACAAGGGTTGTAGCCTAGTAGTATTCCTCTACCTTTTGAAGTGGCACTGTGGCAGGTTGGGGTTTCAAGTCCCATAAGGGTAAAGTAAGTGGGAGTATGTGTGCTAAAAAAAAAAACTGTTTCCTAGTAGTATTCCTCTACCTTCTGAAGTGGCACTGTGGCAGGTTGGGGTTTCAAGTCCCATAAGGGTAAAGTAAGTGGGAGTATGTGTGCTAAAAAATAAAATAAAAAAATAAAAAACTGTGACATGTTATTAAATGAAAAATAGTAAAATGCGACATGTTATTAAATGAAGATAGATTCAACAATGATTCTGGCAGAATGCTTGCAACAAGGAAAAGTGGAAAACTAGTATTTTGGTCAACTGTGGTCCAGCAAATATGGATATCCACACTTGTGGATATCCACAGAAATGTGGTCCACTGCAATCTAATGGTAAATAACCGAATTTCTGAACAACCACCATGATTGATCTGGAAATTTTCACCTGTCTTTAGATAATTTAATAGAAGTGCTATAGCAATTTTAACACTCAAGGAGTTTGAGTCATGGATATTTGACATAAAAGTGGAGCTAATCCAAAGCTCAAACAACTTCCAATTATTCAAGTTTTCAAAACTTTTCTGGCCCAAAACATTTTACATATTTCCAGACAAGGTACCATCCACCTTTTGAATAGAAAAAAAGTAGATAAGCATGATAAACACATTCCTTTACTAAACTAATGTCTCAACTGATTCCTACTTATCTACCTCTTTTCTATTATCCAAGCAGGAAAAAGAATAAGGGAAAAAAAAAAAAAAGAAGAAGCAAATTTCAACTCTTCAAAACATGTAAGTTTAAGGATTGCATAACCCGATACTCCAGAATTTCATAATTAACAAAGAAAATTTTCCCTATATTTATTGGATTCAAGTAGCCTAAAAGATGTATGGAAAGAAAATAATTCAATGTCCTACTAGAATTGCTGAGATTATTTTCTTGACCTCTGAAAAATGAAAACCTCAGGATAAGGAGCTTCAGGATTAGGTTTGTTTTATCTTTTACTTCATATTAAATTATCTTTAATAGAAGAAGGAAGTATGAACCTGATAATAAACAAATTAGTCAACTCACCATGACAGATTATAAGCATAAAATAGTTCATGATTAAGGATAAGCGTGGCGACTATGAGGGGGAAAAAGTAGGTGGAATAAGCAAAGATCATGGTTCATACATTCATATAATGAGCAAAGAGTGATATTATTAAGAAGACAATAAGAAAAGGACTAACTTGATCATCAGAGAATCTATCAGAATGAGATGACATTGATCCTGAACTTTCAGCTTCACCGGGACTCTTCTCGGAAGACTTTCTCCGCCACAGCCAACTCCTTCTGTCCATCTTGAACTCCAGAGAAGGAACAATCAGTATCTCTTCACAGACACTTCATCTTCAATTTCACCCATCAATCCTTCAATTGGTTTCTGACAAGTACAACAGCACAAAGGCTAAGCAAATTGAAACCCGTGTGCTTCCACTTACACACAAATTATACAACTCAAAAAAGCAAAATATGCATAAAACCTATAATCCAAATTCCAAAACCAATTCAGGACCTCCAAAGTATGTAACAGAAACCCATGAGGCAAAAGGGGTCAATTTTTCTCAAATAGCTCAAATGTAAAAGAAACCCAAAAATGGATTTTTGGGTGATTCTCAAACTTTGCTTAGAATCAACTCCCCAACCATCCAACCACCAACAAAAGTTGAAACCCTTCTTTTACAAGCCCTGGAAAGAAATTAGAAAAGTAAAGGTACGATGTAAAATTGAAACCCTTTTTGAACCCTAAAACCAATTGTCTTTTACTTGAAACACAAAATTTGAACAACTCATCTGATGGGTACCTCTCAAACCCCAATCACTGTCAAGAGAGAGACCAATAAAACAAAAACCAACTAAGAAATCGCAAATACCCACCACAAAATCTGCTTTCCTTTTTATGGTCTGAATTAAGACTGGAAAATTGAAAATAGGCCTTAAAAGAAAATCATTAAAAAAAATTACAGACCCGTGAAAGCAAAACAGCAAACCAATTTCGAAAAGTAAAAAAAAAAAAAAAAAAAAAAACACGCACACACACACACAAAACAAAGATGTAAACTGAGACGAAAAGAAGGTACCATAAACTGTAGCATCGATCAACCATTGATTGAATCACAAGATACCCAGTAAAATTATTGAGAAATAAGAGTTCGTCTGCAGTGTATAGAATCAAATAACTGATCAAAAAAATAATAATCTGTAGAGACCTGTGGAATGACAGCAACAACGTAGACGATATAGAAGAATAGAGAACTGTCCAATCTGTTGGGACTGACATTAAGATATTTCTTCCACCAATTTGTATTCAAAATTTGACAACAGAGAAAAGTCTGAATGTCTAGACTCTATAGACTAAAATCTCTCTCTCTCTCTCTCTCTCTGTATATATATATATATATATATATGTTTTTTCTTTCTCTCTCTCACCCTAACTTTGGGGCTTTGTTTTTCAAATGGAGATTGCGTTATTCCCGCTCATGGTTGTCTGGGCTTAACAACCGCCACTGATAAATTAATGTATCCACTGCAGACGGCAGAGAAGCCCTCTCTCTCTCCTCTCTCTCTCTCTCTCTCTCTCTACACTTTCAGAATCGACTTTTTGCTGTATTTTTGTTGGTTTTTGACTTTTTCCCTCAATGATTAACGAGATTAACGCTACACACCTCTGAGCAATAATAGAATAATAAAACAAAAAATTACTGCTAATATTAATAATAAAACAAAAAATTAGTACAAAAGAAAGACAATAATACTACTAACTATAGTAAGAGTAATAATAAAATAAATAAATGAATAGGTACTAAAATATTGGTGGGTTTTAATGTTGTTGTTATATTAAACAGTTGGGGCGGGTGAGAGGGTTGAGGTTAAATGACTCGGATGAAACCAACATAAAAAGATGAATCAAAGTGTGCAGAAAAAAACTCGGATTTAATGTGTTCCACGTCTCCACACCGATGGCTCTGGTTGAACCACCGCTAATTGATCAATGTTATTATGTAATTTGAGTCCACGTATCATAAAGAATTTTTTTTATTTTTTTTTAATCTAAGGATATAAAAACTCAAACAAAGAAATAACCATAGAGAGAGTTACCATTTATCAACTAGATCACCATGTAATGCCTACTATATTATAAGAAATTGTGTCATAACTTTTTTACACTTATCCTACTTTAGACTGTGTCAATGGATTGGCTTTCAACCTGGATCCACTAAGTTAGATATAAATGGAAGTATATAATCCGATAGGGTGTCCATCCTATATATATATATATATATATATATATATATAAAGAACATATAATCCAATTTCATGAATTTCCATCTTACCTATATATATATATATTTTTTTTTAAAAAAAACATATATCCAATTTCATGAATTTCCATCTTTTATATATATATATATATATATATAACATATTTCTATATTTATTTTTAAAAAAGAATTTTTGTGTTCTATAAGACTAACAAGTAACAACAGGGTGTTTCCAAGAGTTTTTTTACTTTTTTATCCCGACAATGGTTAGTAGGTTATTGTTAGAGTTGCACAATTAATCAGATTTGATACTAGTTGTTGTGGCGGAAATGCAAAATAAACAATACTATTTAAAGAATAAACAAGCAATCACAGAACACAAGATGTACATGGTTCAAAGAATAAACAAACAATTACAGAACACAATATATACATGGTTCACCCAAATCTTGGGGTTACGCTCATGGAGCACACCGAACAAATTCACTATGAACAAGATGAAAAATTACAATGGAAAATTTTCTCCCAATCTTTCTCAATTACTCTCTCTTGTTTTTGGCACAAATTTATATATAATTTCCAGACCCTCTAAAATTTGATTAGAGTTGATATTTATAACCAATAAAGAAGTTAAATCAGATCAAAAAACTAAATTTTTCCTAAAATTTAGTAGTCTTGAAATTTTCAAATAATTAAATATTTCTAAAAAATAATTATCTAATCAAACTTCACAAAACCACAACACTTAGTAAGTAAGGGGAAGAGAATCGAGCTCTAAACTTACAGGGTGGGGGGCGAACCCATAAGTTTGGAGTCACTAAAGGGATGACTCTTTACTACTACTCAGGCAACACCGCAATGCCAATTTTTATGAATTTCTATTAATAAATAAAAAATACAAAGAGTTTCTAAAAGCAAAAGAACATATTTCTATATTTATTTTAAAAACATATTTATTTTTTACTTTTTATTTTTTCTTATTGTATCATTTATTTATTATTATTTAAAAAAAAGAGATTTCTTAGAAATCTTTATGTTTTTACGTTCGCTGTGTTGGGGCTTTATAATTATATATAATCTGATTCGGGGTATGTTGGCTTTATACTTTTAATCAGATTATATTTTGGTATTTTATTTTTATTAAATATTCCTAATCAAAGACAAACACTCCTACAAATTAATATAAAATTATAGGGAAAAGTACTCTCGCGACCTAACTACTAATACTCATAAGAATTTCATACCAACTAAAAAACTATAATTTTACTTGAAAAATTAAACTATAACTTTACTTGAAAAACTATTCTAGACCAAAATCACAAAAAATAATTTATTGCATATATATATTTGGGAAAATTTATAAATAATCTACTTAACTATGCATATTTTTAAAAATGCTAACTTTTTAAATTTATTAGGTTTGAGTGCCAACTTTATTCATAACAAAAGTATACAAAAATATTATTTAGACTCTTTAATGGTCTTAAATAACCTTGTCTCTTCCGAAAAGTACGGTTGTGGTTCTAAGTCCATAAACTCTATTATTTCCGGTGACGAAGTCCAACAGACAAAATGTAAGAAATTTTTTTTAAAAAAAAAATACCTATTAAGCAAATATCTTGATCTAAACAAAAATACCCATTATATAAAGATATATTGTACTCATCTAATATAAATATAAACAAATAAACTAGAGAAACCCGAAAACAAAAAAACAAAAATTGCAATTTCAGCTATCACCCATTTCTTTCCTTTGGATTTTAGGCTTCCATTTGGTTGATGCTTTTTCGAAAAACTCATATCAAATTTAAACAAAAAAAAAATTAAAAAGAACTTTTGAACTTAGAAGGAAACAATTTTTAGTTGTTTTGATGACCCAAAAGAAAAGGATAGCAGTGGTACACAGAAGTGATATAAAAGATGGGTTTTGATAAGGAAAACTAGTGAGATAAAATGGGTTTGAGAGAGAAGAAATAAGGAATAAGCCAGAGGGGTTATAGTTAATTTCTCTGATTTTATTGAAAAGGAAGAAGGTGACAACAGAGTTGAAGACTTCGTATGGCTCATGTTTTGAAACTTGTCCAAATGACGATCACTTAAACTAGAGAACCTTAAAACTGGCCATGTTTTGTCTGTTGGAACTTGTCACAAGAAATAATGGAATTTATGAACTTGGAAGCATGTGGGACTTTTCAAAAGAGACAAGGATATTTAGGATCATTAAAGAGTCTAAATAGTGTTTTTGTATACTTTTAGAATTAGTTGATAAATTTAGCCGTCAAATCTATTAGTTTTAAAAAGTTGACATATTTAAAAATATGCATAATTAAGTAAAGTTTTTTTAAATTTTTCCGCAATTAGACATTACAAAATTTTATTATTTTTGTATGTGTGGATTGTTTGTCATTAAATCATGCTTTTCTAATTTTTTTATTGTTGTTTAATTATATTAAAAATTATTATTATAAAATCATATAATAAATTAAATTCAAATAAATTATTGTTTATTAATGAATTTAAATAGATTTTTGTTTAATAAAATTTAAAAAGGTTAATTAATACTTTAGTAGGTTTATTAATTTTCAGTATTTGAGTGTTAATTTATTTAATAATTTAATAGTAAAAATACTAATAATAACAATATAGTAGTTGAAAATACTAAAATTTAAAAAAAGAAAATCTAATTAGAGAAAGAAAAAAATTCTAAATTTTAATAAAAGAAAATCTAATTAGAGAAGGAAATATATAATTAAAAAAAAAAACTGAAGAACTCAAATATAATAAAAGAAATCTAATTAGAGAAAGGAATATATAATATTAAAAAATTTATTTATTTAATTTAATAAAAGAAAATTTAATTAGAGAAGGAAATACTCATAATAATATAGTTGTAGGAAATATGGAATTTTGATAAAAGAAAATCTAATTAGAGAAAAAAAAATACTATAATAGTTGTAGAAAATAATGAAATTTAATAAAAAGAAATTAATTAGAGAATGAAATATATAGTTTATTTCAACAAATAAAAGATAACAACAATTCTATATCAAAATATACCAATAAAAGATTAAATTTGTATTTAATTTTTATAATTTATTTTAAATTTTATAATGATATTTATTCAATAAATAATAATACGAAATTATTCTTATATATATATATTTTATCTTTATAATATTTTTTACTTTATAGTTAAACACACACTTCCTTTCACGTGTATAGGACGTGTTTTACTAGTATTATATAACAGTAGCATATATTATATATGTATTTGTGTGTAAATAAATATATATATATAGGAAATATTTGGCTAATGAAAGAAATTTTCTAACTTCTAATTGTACCATAATATGATATTCAAGCATGCATACTCGTAGCTCCCAATAGCATATGATCGTCGAGTATCTTTCTGAACGCTAATCCATCACCTTCATGTAATTTCTCTCTCTCTCTCTCTCTCTCTCTCTCTCCTTTTCTTCTCCTTTCTCTAAATTCCTTTCATTATTCTTTATTACAAGCCCTAAATTTCTTTCTTTCTTTCTTTCTTCTTCTTCTTTTAACATCAAAATTATCTATTTTTTCTTTTTAAAGAAAAATTTCCCTCCTTCTTGTCTTATATAATCTTCTTGTCTTATATAAATATTTTTTTATAACGGTTTTACAATTTATTAGCCTAATTTTTCATCTTCTTCCTCTTGCTTTGTTAAATGGAGTGTAATTCTCCAAATTATCGGATCGAATGCCATTAAAATAGAATATCGAATATAAATTTGATAAGTTGTGATCTGTCAAATTATCGGATCAGATCGAATTGTAAAATTCTCTAATCAGATTTGGATCAAATTAGATATGATTTTATTAGAATCCGATGTACCCTGCTCGAGTTGGAATTTTTTTTTTTTTTTTTTAAATACAGTGAACTTCGCTATATTTTGAATAATTATACTTGCCTTCCCCCATTAAGTGAATAATTATACTTGAGTGTTATTGTCTATTAAATGAATATGTGAACTTACTATATTAACCTTACTGAAGATTTAAAATCTTGCATATAAATTACGCTGTTGGGCTAACTTAACAAAACGGTTTCAACCTATTTATTGCGGATATTAATTTTGTTCAACCAAATCCATTCTTCCAAAGCCTCAATCGGTGACTTTTCCGACATAATTTTGGCATTTTTCCAACAAAATTTTCGGTCCAAGATCTTCATAATTTGAGGGTTCTAAAACCAATTTTCTTATGATATTTTGGTTTTTATTTTTATTTTGGTTATTATTATTATTTTTTAAAATATAAGATTAAAATAATAAAAATAAAAATATACGGATAGTTGATTTAATAATAATTTGAGAGTTTCTCACCCCTCTGCTAGTAAGTTATTTTTTACTTTGTTTCTAATTATTATTT